CCCTGGGACTGTGCGGAGCCCGGCCCGGGAACCCACCCTGGGGCTGTGCGGGCTGGCACGTGAGCAGGGCCCAGACAGACGTCTCCTTCCCCGCAGGATGGGCAGTCGCGGACCATCCGCCAGTTCCAGTTCACGGACTGGCCCGAGCAGGGAGTGCCGAAGACCGGCGAGGGCTTCATCGACTTCATCGGGCAGGTGCACAAAACCAAGGAGCAGTTTGGCCAGGATGGACCCATCACGGTGCACTGCAGGTGAGCGCTGGCCGGGCTGGTGCGGGAGGCTGCCCGGGGTAGGCAGAGCACCCCCCCGGAGACGCCGTCCTCCACAGAGCCACAAGGGGTCCTGCTCAACAGCGCTCCCTGGCACCCTCAGATGCTGCCGGCTGTACTGCGGGGCAGAGCTGAGAACGGCTCTCCTGCCCCTCACCCCCGGCGGCACTGCTAGGAACTGTTCTCCTGCCCCCTGGCAGCACTGCTGGGAACGGCTCTCCTGCCCCCCACCCCCCGGCAGCGCTGCTGGGAACGGCTCTCCTGTCACCCACCCCCGGCGGCGCTGCTGGGAACGGCTCTCCTGCCCCTCACCCCCGGCGGCACTGCTGGGAACGGCTCTCCTGCCCCCGGGCGGCGCTGCTGGGAACGGCTCTCCTGCCCCCCGCCCCCCGGCGGCCCTGCTGGGAACGGCACGGGCAGCTACAGGCTGCCACGCAGGACATGGAGGGGAGCCCAGACCCTCAGCAGGCCCCATGGCTCTGCAGGCTCAGCACCTCCAGCAGGCCCCAGGTGTGGGGAAGGCGCGTGGGTCGCTGCCAGGAGGCCGGGAGGTGCCCGCAGTGCAGGGCAACAGGAAGCAGAGGCCCCCGAGAGTCTCTGCAAGCCCCTTCCCATCCAACATGCCCCCCACTGGCAGAATGGGCCTGGCTCCCTGTGGGCCCAGGTGGCTCAGTGACGGGGCAGGGCTGCGGGGGGACCAGCGGCCATGGGGCCTGGGGTCTCTGCTGACAGCCCCTCTGCTCCTTGTGCTCACAGCGCTGGGGTCGGGCGCACAGGGGTGTTCATCACGCTCAGCATCGTCCTGGAGCGCATGCGCTACGAAGGGGTGGTTGACATGTTCCAGACGGTGAAGACCTTGCGAACGCAGCGACCGGCCATGGTGCAGACAGAGGTAGGTGCCCGCGTGCCCCCTGCTGACTGAGGGCAGGACTCCCCCAGCCCGGGAGCTGGCGCCCCTCCAGTCCTTGCTGGGGTGTGCCCGGGAAAGGGGGGCCCGGCGCCGCCCTAGGCCTCTTCGGAAGGGTCTCATTTCAGCAGAGCTGAATCTGGCAGCAGGTCCCAGTCTCCGGCCTGCCCTGGGCTTCTGGCTGGATAAGGAAGCCCTGGTGGGAGGAGGGTTCTTGGGCTGGGCTGGGGGTTTTTTGGGGGTGGGTGGGAACTGGACTCCCCCTCTCTGCTCTGTGCTGTGCCCCCCACCCAGAGCAGCCAGGCGGGTTTGCAGGCACAGGTGTGTCTGTCCCGCTCCGCAGGCCACGGCCAGGCCACTGGTTACTGTCGGGCGTCTTGCTGCCTGGGCCTGGGCAGGGAGGCAGCAGCTGGGAGCCACCGGCCTGTGGTGGCCCTGGCTGTGCTCGGAGATCTCGCTCTGAGCTGGGAACGGCCTGTCTGCGGCGGGAGGGCTGCCAGCTGCATGGAGAGCCCCTCGCCAGGGCCGGGCCTGGCGCTGCTCTAGGGACAGCCAGAGCGGGAACCAGCAGCAGGCTGGCCAGGGCCCCAGGGGGCACCTTAACCTCTGACCCTTCAACCCCCCCAGGGAGGGATGGCTCCCGGACAGATCCTGCAGGACAGCCCAGCTAGGGTGACCAGACAGCAAGTGTGAAAAATTGGGACGGGGTTGGGGGTAATAGGAGCCTATATAAGAAAAAGACCCAAAAATCGGGACTGTCCCTATGAAATTGGGACATCTGGTCACCCTAGGCCCAGTGCATGCCCCTCTCCCTGGAGCTTGGGCGAAGTGCAGCCTCCATGCTAAAATACCAGCCTGCGCTGGGCTGGGCAGCACCCCCGCCCCGACCCCATCGAAGGGCCCCACCTGGCCCCCGCCTTGCAGGCTGTTCTCACTGCGCAAAGGGCGACAGGGCCAGAGAGACGCAGGGGCCAGGATGGCCCGGGCCAGGCTAGTGCTCTAACCACTGGGTCGCCCTGCCTCCTACCTCTCCTTTGGAACGTCACACCCGCTTCGGGGACGAGCTTGGCCATGTGCAGAGACCTGGGCTGGGGACGGCGCCTTCTGTTCGCTCGGGCTGTCCCCGTGGTGAGTCCCGGTGCCGCGCAGCCTTCTGCACGGGGCACCTCCCTTCACACGCCCGCCCTCTCTCCTTGCAGGACCAGTACCAGCTGTGCTACAGAGCAGCGCTGGAGTATCTCGGCAGCTTCGACCACTATGCAACGTAACTAGTGCTTCCCCCAGTCGCAGTGGGAATGTCTAGGAGCGGAAAGGGTCCTCCTGAGCCACAGCTGCCATTCTTCAGTCCTGTACAGACGCTGCTGCTGCCGAGGCAGCAGATCTCCCACGACCGACCAAATCTGACCACTGCATTGAGGAGCATCGCCCCGCGCCGAGCAAGGGAGTCCGACGCTAGTCGAATTTCTGCTCACTTGTCTCCCTCTCGGCCCCCTCGCGCGACTGCATTTCACAGCCAGGCTTTAGGTGGATGGAACGGGATCTTTTTTTATCTGTAAAATAGTTACTCGTGTTTTTATAATCCTTTCTCTTCGTTTGCTAGTCTTACCGTCTGGCTGGGGCAGAGCTGGGTCCATCAGGCCTTCTGGGGGTTCCTTTCCTTTTGCCCTTCCCCTTTGTTCGGCTCCACCCCGCCTTGGTGCTGCCCATTTTAGTGCAGCCACTTGGAGACCCCCAGCAGTGACTGGCTCACAGTTCCAGACCCTCTCATTCCCCATAGGCTGCTTGTAACCCTCTGTAGACTAGGAAAGTTCACCCAACTGGAGCTAAGCTACTGATGATTTGTTTAGCTGTTTTCCCCTTATTTCCTGTGGGGGGGAAGGGACTTGGGGTCGCGGGAGAGACAATTCCATCGCAAGCTTGAAACTGGTCAGTCCCATTAAAGTGCGTGTTAACCCATTCGGTGCCCATGTGTGTTGGCAGATCCCAATCTGACGTGACTTGTCGGCACCGTTGCGTTTGTGAGAGACCCAAAATCCCAGACTCCTGGCCTGGGGGCCTCTCTGTGTGTCTCACTGGGGAGGGGGCAGGGAGGCAGCAGAAGCCAACCGCGCAACGGGTCCCTTTCTGCTCGTGCTGCGGTTGTGGGTGTGCAGGCAACTCACCAATGAATGCATCACCACATTTCCAAAGGGAAGGAGCACAATTCTAGCAGCTCCCGCAAGGGGGCTGCGTGGGCTATTTTTGGAAAATGGGGTACTTCAGGGAAGGGGCAGCGGGGGAGGGGGGACATGTTTTCGGAGGTTGGGTGTATCTATAATTTCTGCTATCCTGCAAATGTTTAAAGTCATTAGAATATTGTACTTTCTGCTACTTCAGGACGTTCTAATGAACCAATGTGGCAAGTCTACTGGACTTAATTTAATGGTACTATATCTTACTACTCCTTATTCTATCGCGCTTGCACTAAAGACGGGAGAGCCGCCCTCTCTCGAGTGCACAGAGTTCTCAATAAAGGTGGTGGAAGGGTAGCTAATTGTATTATCAAATGTATTCCGAATGCTAAGAATCTGAGCGACGGTGAAATCAGCAATCCAGGGTGGGGATGTTGGAGGACACGTTCATTTTTACCTTGTGGATGCATAGTGCCGTAGGGGTCACTGGTGTATACAGTCTGTTTTCTATTTGTTAATAAAAAAAAAAAATCTACAGCATCATTGCATAATTCTTGATGTTAATAAATTTGAATAATCAGGTTTCATACAAGCTGGTCTTGCTGCCTTCTTTGTTCAGCAATAAACAGAAGCCAGGGGCCTTTCTGCTACGGGCCCTCATTACTCCCTCCCTTACGGAGCAGGCCAGCTCCCCGGGCCGCAAGGGGGCAGGGCCGGGGTGCTGCTCGCAGGGACGGAGCCCTGGGGCCTCTCCCTTGCGGCATTCCTGGCAGCTGGCTGGGCCTGTAGCGGAAGTCGTGGAGCCCAGCCTGGCTGAGAAGAGAGGAGCAGGGGAAATGGGGCTGTGACCCCTCCCCATCTTCTGCCCTGGCCATGTGCAGCGCAGGGAGAAGGGGGCACGGGCCCTGCCAGAGGCTTGGCAGCTGAGCATTGCATTGCTCGTGCTTTGAACCTGTCGCAGGGGACAGACCTTGCCCGCTGTAGTCAGCAGAAAGGGTTGAAGAGCCGCTCTTGTCCCAGTGCGCTGGCTCTCTGGGGCTGACGCTGTTCAGCTTCCTCTCCTGGAGAAAGGAGACGCTAAACCCAGCTCGCTGGGCTCTGCCGGGCTGACTGGCTGTAACGGACTCTCCTTCCAGGGGCGAAGGGGAAAGGGGGCAGCTCTGCTAACTGTGGAGGGGGCGCTCCCCCTCCTGGGCTGGGTGGGGCTCAGCTCCCCGGCCTCTGTGGAGCGAAGTAGGGGGGATGGGCACTGCCAGCAGCAGCTGGTACCTGGCAGGGAGGGGGCGCCCCACGTCCTTGCAGTACACAGCCCCTGGCACGCAGTGGTGGGTCCCAGCTGGGCGTCCTTTCCTCTAAGGGAAGAGCTGTCCCTGGCATTGGGCGGAGGAGGGGAATCAGGCAGGTCCCTCCCCTCAGTACAGATGCTCTATGCCACCGGGGTGTGGATGGGGGGCACTGCAGGCCAGGAACCCCTTTTTGATACAGTGCGTCTCTCGCTGCCTCTCTCCCTGTGCTGCCTCTGCCCCAGGGATCGTGGGACCCTGCGCCGCACGTAACTGTGAGCCTGGAGCTGGAGCTGCGCCTGCACCGCGCTGGAACCATGGCCCCCGGCAGCACTAGGGCACTACTGAGCTGCTGGGGGGCTGGTGTCATCTTAAAGCTGGGAATGTTGCACGTTCCCTGGCCAGCCCACACACAGCAGTAAAGCGTCCCCAGTGATCCGCTGGTGCCTGCATTGCCATGGAAAGTCGCCCTTTCTGTTGCAGTACAAGGTGGGCTAGTGCCAAAATAGGGCTATGTTCCATCTCTTGCCCCACCACCGGTCAGGAACCCAATTGCTGCAAATCCAGCCACTATTTCTTGCACATGGCCGAGCGTCACCGTTCTGCGTAGCAGGAGACGATTCATGGCACTACACACTTGCATGACAACGACCCCCACTCGGGATTTTTCCAACTCCAAAATAATTTCCCACAGACCAGTAGTAATCTAATGTCACAAGTGCCTTAAATGCAACTTTTGCCTTAGTGAAACCACTCTCTGACAGCTCGGCCTGCTGTCCCCAGGCGCTGCAGCGCTCTGGCTTAGCTGGAAGGAGAACGCACTATGATGTCTGTCACGGGCAGGCAGGGGTCCTGGAGCTGTGATCAGCTGGCAGGAGGAGCATGGAGATCACTCGAGTCTCTCCCCCACCGCTGGGTGCAGTGTAGGGGAAAGGGTGCTGCACCCCATCAGCAGCACAGGAGCCTGGCAGAGATGTGAAGTGGCCCGTTCATCGCAATGGGATTGTCACGGATGAATGGGGATGAGTGAAACCTGAAGCCACGCCTACACTAGCGAGCTTACAGGGGCACAGCTGTGCTGCCGTAACATCGCTCGTGTCGCTGCTCTGTGTGGCCAGGCGAGCGCTCTCCAGTCGACATTGTTACACCAACCCCAACGAGCGGCAGGAGAGCGTCCCCCCCCAGCACCTCTACTTCCAGCACCTATGCTGACGGGGTGTCTTTTCACAGCCCTGAGCAACATACGTTAAACTGACAAAAATGCTAGCGTAGACATAGCCTGAAACAATAGCTTGAGAACTGTGACTTGCTCCATAGACATTCTCGTCCCCTATCCCTGCTTGTCTACACATAAGTTGTACTGCTTTACCAGCCTAGTTAACATGGTAAGCCACCTAATGTGGATGCAAATGTACTGCTATAAAAGCGCTTATACTGGGATAGTGTAGTCCTGGACGGGAAGGGGCCTAAGCACTTCTAGCCCAGGGTAACTATGTCCTCATATATGTCCTCATATGCTCCTGGCCCAGCACTGACTGGGAATCTTGCACCAGCCTCTCTGGTGTCATTGCAGTGTGGTGGCCAATCCCTCCCATATTAGCCTAGTCCGACACCACCGGACCGGGCTTCATACCCTGCTCACCGTCCTGCTGTAATAGGATATGTCTGCCCAGCCTGTAGCTGGGTGCCTCCCTGCCTGGCTTGATGGACTCTCGCTAGCTGCACTCGCATCATCACTCTACAAACAGCTGCATAACCAGCACTTTGAAATTGGACGGGAGCTTGGGCTCTGAGGCCCACCCCTCTTCCTGGGCCTCAGGAACCAAGCCACGACTCAAAAGTGCTGTCAGTGCTCTCAAAATACCTGCATAAACATGAACCAAGCTCCATTAACATGGGCTGGGAGGCTCCCCGCCATGGGCTGTGTCCGCATATCCTTACAGACCAGGTGGCTTCAGCTAGCCATCCCTGTTCAATCAGGCCTGCCTGTGCCATAATTAGCTGCCTCCTAGCCTAAGGGAGCAGCCTGAAACATCTGGGCCTCATAAAACTCGGTTTGGAAGAGATGACAGGGAGCAAACTGGGCTTCTGCAGAAGGGCCTAAATAGGGTCTGGAGGACTCCAGGGGAGGAGCCTGGGGGCCAGAGCTCTATCTCAGAGCCAGAGCGTTGACGGTAGCCCAGAAGGGCCTGGCAATGCAGCCTGGAGGGCAGGCGGAAGAAGAGCCTTTCTGTTTCTTTCCATCTGGGTTATCCTGAAATGAGACTGAACGCTGACACTGACCCGGGTGGAGAACTGAGCCATGTGAATTCCCAGGAGAGAGACAAAATCCTGGTAAAGTGTATAAAAAGCTCATTGGGGGGTGGGGTGGGGGGCTGTAGTGTTCAAACAACCCCAAATTTGGATCCCTACCCCCAATCCCTCACAAACCACAGCAGATTACAAGACAA